TAAGGAGGATGTTGATGAGAATCAAATAAGGTTTTTTTATATTAATAAAATCAAGAAAATATAACTATCATAGAAAGACGAGAAATAATATCAATAGGGAAAATGATAACAAGAGCGGGAAGATGAAAGAACAATACCACCGGTAGAGACGAACAACAACTAGAAACATCGAAGGATGAGAAGATTATCACTGAAAAGTCCAGAGAAAACATATGTTATCCATTGAGAAGATAAAAAAGGAACACCAATAGTAAACAGCTGGACAATTAGCGGTTACAGAGTGCCCTCTATTGATGCAAACATAACAGACTTGATTTTAGTGACATCGTTTTGAATTTGTTCTATTCGAATAAGATTCATTGGATTGTTTTTGGTGCCGATGTTTCCTACATAATTTCTTGTTAATCTTGAAGAAATCGTGATGTTAGATAAAAGAACTGAGCGAGGTTGACCTTTCGAAATGATGAAATCACATATCGGAAGAACTTCGAAAAGCGTAATCGATTTAAAAAGTGTTTGTCGGAAGAGAGAACTATCCGGTTGTGATAGGACTATAATTGATCAGAATGAACTCAAAGATTGTCTCCTAGAATGGGTTTTTTCCTTTAGGAAGGAGCTGACATATTGACGATATTTTAACAATACTCAAGGGTTCTATTAAAAATTTTCATGCATCAATAATCAGCATAGCATCTCTGATGTACTGATATAAATAACTCTTTTATAAACGAAAAAAAGTTTTTAATCTTCAGACCGTGGAGGGAAGTACGGGTATAAGATTGCATGCAGGAGATCTATTATTTGTATTATTTCTTTTTCAAATTTTTATTCTGCGTATTTAGGTTTGATTTTTGTACGAAACTCTACAAGAATCTATAAATATCTGGTGTTTATTTAAATAATAATTTTTTTCATATCCTCGTGTCTCCTTCCAGAGGTCTGTCTGGAGGCCAAAAAACAATGTTTTCCATTTATGAAAAAGTTAAGTATATGAGTTGATCAGAAGATCTATGCTAATTATTAGTATATTAAAATTTTTAATAGAATCCTTGAGTATGACTAAAATATTGTCAATAACCGGCTCTATCATATAGGAAAAAAAATCTATTCTAGGAAACAATCTTACAAGTTGACAATGAGTCCTTGGCGTTCCAAAAGATGTTATTTGTCAAATATATAGAGGTCGATAGTGTACAAATTTTGAGAAAGTTTCATGTTGGTACTCAATTGTTCTGTCGCACAGAGTTGAACACATTAGAATATCATATAGTCCAGAAATAACCCTAGATCCAAGGAAAAGGATCAGTTTTAAGGATGAAGAAAACAATATGAAAACTATTGATTATATAAAATTGAAGAACACCTATAACTGTATCGAATGGAGTTTAGAAATAAAATTTGCATAAATTTATCTTAAAACACCTTAAGGACCACAATGTTCATGAATATAAGATATATTTCTCAAGAATTATAACCACTATATTGATCATGAGCACATCAAAATTTAAGGAAAACTTCATTTCTTATATATATCATTTGATGCATTTCAAATTGTTCTACAAAATCAAATATATGGTATTCTGGTTTAGGATAGGGTACCAAATCCGGCAAAGCTTTTTATCAAAATTTCCTTGAAATGAAACACTATTTTCATTTATTCGTTTGAATTTTTTGAGAAGATAATGAGTTTTAAAATAATTCAGTCATTATATAGTATCAGATAAAAAGACGTCTGTATAGTTTTCCCTTGAGATTGCTGAAAAGCGCAGGTTGCCAACTATTGCCATTGTCAAGTTATTAAGATTACACTCACATTCATCTTTAATTCGGATGTGAATATTAGTTAAAAAATTCAAAGTACTAGAAGTCAAAAACTATTTAATACAATAATAAAAAGCACTTAAAAGAAGGAAGAAAGTTCTAAAACTTATATTTTGAGTTATATTTGCTTGATCCCTTCCTTTATGAACACTCTACTATATTGAACGATTTCCGTCGGTCCAAACGATGTTCACAATGTAAAAGTTTTACTATATATACGAGTACATAAAGCAGGTTGCGCATATTATTTTATCCATCGTACTATTTCTTAGATGTCAAAGAAGAATTCACACAAGTTTAACATGATATCTAAGAATTCTTTTTTCATTAACATAAAAGGAAATATAATTTATTGTATGAGATGTTGAATTTTTGTAGTTTTCCTTTCGCCTATTTTTTTGCATAAAACTTTTAGACATTGCTCAATCGCGTTTTGAATTCTTTTGATGAAGTTAAGATGGATACAAAATAAAAGACAAAATCATGAAAGACATTCTGTAACCTGAAATATAAATTATATTTATTGTTCTGCTTTTGAATTTCAATTAAAGTGCTTAAATATGAAAAAATACTTTTTTTTTAGATTTAATCATCAATAAAATTATCATTATAGACTATTCAATCAAAAGAATATAAAAATAGTATAAGCCAATAGAAAAAAAGTATATTCTAATTTTGCATCATGTATAGATGTTTCTAATCTTCAATGCTTACGAATATTAACAAATAAAATACAGACTTATGATATCTCATAATTAGTATTTTGTATTACTTGACAGGTATTATATAAAAAACGATTCAAGTGAAATTATCGAAAAATGAGATTTACAATTAATATCTTTTTAATATATAGATACAATATTGTTACTATTCAATATTAACATGGGAATTTCACAACTCATGTAAATATTTGTTTCTTTGAGTGAAAACGTGTCTGAATGTGTTCGTAATTTAGTTTTGCGTCTAGATGCAATTTATAATAGAGCCACGCTTGAATGCGTCTAGTGCTTACATGAATAGGAAAGAAATGTTTATCATTAACTCAGGCAAGTTTTCTCATTTCAGAAATTTTTATCGGAAGTTCAGTTAATTACAATGGCAAAAAAAAAAGGAAGAATAGTTCTGAGAAGAGTAAAGAAAACATGATCTTTAATATGAAAATGATATGTTTGATATTTAAGTATTCTTGTTTTTTTTTTAGACTTTTAGATTAAATTTTTTTTGTTTATTCGATGAAAAATTTGATTCAATTTAGAGCATCGTTTATAAGAAGAAATTCTATAGGTTTATTATAAATAAATGAATTTCTCATATAAACATCAGATGTTATTTATAGAAAAGAAAAACTAAAGATTTTTCGATTAAAAAATTTATCTAATAAAATCAATGTATATTTATTTTTAAAAACCATCAGATAATAAATTAAATAAAAATTTTTTTTTGTATAATATCATATAGATATTTGCGTTCTTCGTGCCTTATTCATATTTTTAATCTTTAACATTTGTAATTTAAATCAATGTTTAATATAAAGATAACGTTACCTATACAAAATATCGAACATGTGTAAAGTAATATGTGGTGATTAAGCATTCCTCTTTTTTTTTCTTCCTAGTTGCATTCGTTATTTATATATAATATATAGCAGATGTTTGAATAATTAATTTTTCTTTCATTTTATCTATATAAAGAAAAACGTTTATTATTTCCTTGTTACTGAGCGTTCATTATGATTTATTATTCTTACGTCAACTCAAATTTCTCATTGATATAAAAGCTTTTTTTTTTTTTCTGTGTACACAAAATGTAAAACAGAATTATGTCACTGTCACAATTAAGCTCCAATGAGAAAGAAACTTGATTCTAGAGTTTGATGTTCAGTCTTGATTATGTCAAGAGATTTTCTATAAATTTCGAAACTTTTCTTCTCATAGAAAATTTCTAATCTAGTTTGTGCAGGATATTAAAGAGAAACATTCTAATAAAAGATGTGACAAGAGTTGAATGTATGTTTTTTTTCCTAAACAATTCCATTGATATTAATCATTGTCTTACTTTAATTTACCATTTTATGTATTCATTTTGTATGATATTTTAGCTACAAATATATGGACCTGTGAACTATATATTTTTTATTATATTGATCTAAGAATCTAGTTTCATTTGTAAATATTTGTCATATAGTTGAGACATATAACAAATTCATTTGGTTTTTATAATACTGCATTACCTTAATTAAAGAACATAATGACAAAAAACATATTTTATATTGAAAAAAAACCATCTTATTGCCTGATATTAAATCAAAATGTTCAACTATTTTATTAGATAAAGAATACATTTTTTCCCGTTCTGCTACGTCAACTTCTTATAACAAATGTACCATTTTACACGTTAGTTGTTTAAAAAAAACATAATTTCTGAAAATCATGGTTTTTGTTTTGTTCATAAAATGAATTAATTAAATTTCTTTTATTTTATAATTTACATTCCAGACAACAATCTACATTCTAGTTCTATTTATTTAAAGTATACTTTTGAAAAAAGTTGTTTTTAGCTCATAGAAGTACGCAGAGGTTGTCAAATAACTGAGAAGGTCAAGTGGAAGATTTTTAGTAAAATTGCCCGAATTTTGAGAGCAGGAAGGTGGAGCATGTCTTTGAAAATTATTTAGAAAAAAAAAAACAATAAAATACTGAAACTTCGCTGTAGATAAGCAAAAATTTTTGAAAATTAAAGAGTCACTCTCTCGATCTATCTGCTAGAGACACTCCTATTTTCTCTACAATATGAAAAATACATTCTTGTAGTACATAAATAACTATATTTGAAATATACTAAAAGTACAATTTCGATTATGTATGTAATATCTATTCATTCTAACTTAAAAAATCTTTTTTCTATTTTATTTCAATATTAATTTACCATTACATTTCATGTAAACTCTTTAGTAGGTCAAAAGGTATCTTATATATAAAGCGTCCTCTATGGAATTGCGTTAATTTATTTCTACTGGTTATTAAAAACGAATGGAGAAAAAGAAGTTATTTTTCTTTTGACCTTGAATAAAAAAAGAACGCTTAATGAATGAGTGACAAAAAATAAACAACGTAAGCAACTATGTTGACAAATTTTAAATAGATCCTTTTCCTTTCAGATTATTTGTCTTCCCCAAAAATATGTCCGAATCAAGTTGTATGCTTTAATTGAAAGAAATCAAGCGATAATGTATGTCTTTATTTTTTTTTTTAAAGGTTTTAGTTATGGTGATAATGGAACATTTTCACCAACTATGGATGCAACAAATCAAATACAAAATGGAATGCAACATACAAGTGGGAATTCAAATTATTCAAGTGGTTCAGGTGGAGATTCTCCGAACTCTTTAAGTCCTGGTAGAAATAAATAAATAACAAAATAACTTTTTTATTTGAATTTTTCCTAGTGGCAGTGTCATCCGGTGGTCCATTTAGCGGTATTGGTGGTAATTCAAATTCATCAGCAAGTTCAACACCAACAGCAACAACAAGTGGTGCTGCTGCTGCTTCTCGTTATGCTTGTGTTATTTGTGGTGATAAAGCATCGGGAAAACATTATGGTGTTCATAGGTACATTTTGTTTTGGTTTTTTTCCAATCGAATAACTTATAAGTTTTGTATTTTTTTTCCAGTTGTGAAGGATGTAAAGGTTTTTTTAAACGTACTGTACGCAAAGATTTAACGTATACATGTCGAGATAATCGAGATTGTATTATTGATAAACGACAACGTAACCGGTGTCAATATTGTCGTTATCAAAAATGTCTTAATGTTGGTATGAAAAAAGAAGGTAACAAAAAAACAAAACAAATAATGAAACTTTTATCTTTGAAATATTTTATTATTTTATTTTTAGCTGTACAAGAAGAACGACAAAAATCTGGTATGGGTGGTGAAGGTGAATCTCCATCATCACCTATTGCTAGTACTGGTAGTAATAGTAATCATATGAATACAAATACAAGTGTAATCGGTGATGAAGAAGCTTTAATTGAAAAATTAATTGCTGCTGAATTATCTGTTGAACAAAAAATTGATTCATATCATGAAGAAGAATGTTCATATGATCGTCTTGTATCAACAAGTCATTCTCAAATATCACATTTAATTGAATGGGCTAAACGTGTACCATTTTTTACTAGTTTATCAATTGATGATCAAATTGCACTTGTACGAGCATCATGGAGAGATATTTTATGTTGTTCATTGGCTTATGGATCAGTTATGGCACCTGATTGTGGTTTAATTTTATCTGTTAGTATTATATTATTATAGATTTATTTTCTTATTTATTAGTTTTTAGAAAGAAAAATATTTGAGTATAGTTTTATCTTTTAGAATATTTAAAAAGTTTTTTATATATGAGAATTTATTGCAGTTTGAACTTTTGAATGGTATGTATCCAACCATGTCGTATAAACATTGTTTATTCTTCAATGGTTGATGAACTGAATTTAGAACAAAAGAAATCATTTTTTTTTTGTTAAAACTTCATTTTGAATTATTTTACTAGAGTTTATTGGGTAAAACTTAGTTCGAAACGTTCTATTTACTTTTTTGTAGGCTAAAAGATTTAATTACTCAAGATTATGCAGATATTATAATACTAGATTACCCGTATCAAATATAAATTATTAACTAACTAATTTTGTTATCCTATTTCATTCTTAATCTTCTTTTTTTCAGTTTATATTCTCAATTAATATTATACAGTATGCTTTTTTTTTTTTCTTTAATGACTATAAAAATTTCATGTCGTATGACGAGTATCAATTTTGATGTCATGGTAAACCGATCCTAATAATACAAAATGAAAAGACAAAGAAAGGAAGGAAGTATTATATTAAAAAATTTCAATAGAATCCATACGAATATTTGCTTATATGACAATTTTTTGATCAACATTCTTATTTATTTTCATTGAATTTGATTTAGACCGAGAATTTAACAAAAAAATAAACAAACATGATTATTTTCTTTTAGGATGGTTCATATGTTCGACCACATACAGCTGTCGATCAATCTCTTCAATTTTTTATTACTCGTCTATATCATGATGTTGTGACAATATTACGTGAATTAAATGTTGACAAAGTTGAAATAACATGTCTTAAGGCTATTTTTCTTTATGATCCTGGTATGAAGACAGAGATCTTAAGAAAAAAAACAAAAACAACATCGTTTTATTGTTTCTTTTTAGATGCGAAAGATGTTGTTGATACAAGTCGTGTATCTGAATTACGTGAAAAAGTTTGTATGTCATTAGCAACTTATTGCAAAAAATTTCATGGTGATGATGTTGCTCGTTTTGCTAAATTACTTCTTCGTATGCCACCTATTCGTGGTTGGTGTATAAAAGGTATTGAAAATTTATTTTTTGCCGGTGCCGCTCAATCAACTGATGCTGAGCTTGTACGTATGATTCGAAATCATTAATTGTTAGAAAAACAAAATAAGAATTCAAGAAAATTATTTTTATTTTATATAAAGTTGTGAAAGATATTTCACGATTAAAAAATTTTGATGAAATAAAAAAAAAAAAAAAAGAAAAAAATTTCACGCGAGTTTTCTTTTCGTTTTCGTTTTCTTTTCTTTTCTTTTTCTTTTTCTTTTTTTTATATGTTATTGTCATATGTGTATGTGTGTGGTTCGTTTTAACCCTTTGTCTATATCTCTGTGATACCCTGTCTTTTGAAAAATATTTTAAAAACAAACAAAAAAAAAAGAAAAATATATTTCGTGTCATTGCCCGGTTTCTTTTATATTGTTCTGTTACTACGTATTGGTTGTTGTATATCGTATGCTATATAACCCGCTTTTCTTCTTTTAGTTGGAAACATGTATTTATTTGTGTAATGCGTATGTAGATGTTAAAAGAAAAAAAAAATATATATATTTATCGTATCATGAAAATCTCATAAATGGAATTTACGACTTTATGCATGCTTATTTTCGAACTTATTAGCAGATTATAATTGGTTAGAAAGTACAAAATCCTATAATTTATTGTCTTTTAGAAAATATATAGAAATTAAATATAAAGATCAATAAATAAGTAACATGAGAACAGTATATTATTCGTGTGAAGAAACAACAGTCATTTATAATTGAACTTTGTAAAGTAACTATGAGATTTAAAGATAATTCATTGATATAAAATGGTGAAAAGAAAATCGAAAAACAGAGTCTTAGTGATATCCTATTAGACTGTAGATGTGTCATGTTTTGTTAATAGATTCTACTTCAGTTATGCACTTGTTTCATAGTTTAAAATCAATAGATTCTATGCAATAATTTGATTATCAAAAATTCCTAAATTTAATTTACAATCGAATGAGAATCTTTTTTTCTTAGAGACATGTTCTTGTAAATATTTATTTTACATTGAAAACATTTTACTCATACTGTGCTCTATATTTTCCACCGAAATGATTCTTGGTAGCATGACAAGAATGCATCAATGTGTTTAAAGAGCATATGATAATTATGTTTCTTTTTTCAGTTTTTAAAATATATCATGTAAAAATATGCTTAATTTATTCATTGTTTCAAGATTTTATATAGATATTGCTGATGAGAAGTGCATACGTTAACAATTACAGGAAACAAAAACAACACGTTATTTTCTAGTTCTATTAGCATACCATATTTATGCCAAAGTCTACTTTGAATAACATATCAATTCAATTTATTAAGATGATTTTAAAAGTTAATAGGTAGAGAAAAAAGGCAAATGTGTCTTTTTTTTATATTTCCTATTGAAATTAACAAACAATCAAAAAAAATATAAAATTTTTTAAATGATTAAAAACAAAACTTTGAGTAAAATTTTTTCGGTATATTTATCTATCGAATATATGACGTACTTTATCTACAAGATATAAATTTGATTATGCAAAATGAAATACATCCAAAATTTTGGAAAAAATCTTTTTCGTGTAAAAATCTCATAATGCATATATATAGAGAATAGATATTCACAATATTTCATTGCTTGTTTCTTCTTGTTCTTTGTATGTATCAATGAATAATACCAGAGGTTCAAATAGAATGAACTATTGGGGTGAAACAGTCAATCGAAGCTAATTTTTTCTCGAGATGAGAAATATGAAATACTCTTCGTTTTAGACTATATAATACAAAATTTGATGAAAATTACTTTTATACAAACTCAATATAATCTACGAGGCTACAGCTTGATTGCGAACATTTTTTTCGATCAATTAAGAAAAAATGTCCACAAACCAGAATCGTGGGAGAGAGACAAAAATGACCCCACGCTGAAAATTGTCCGAAAAGTAGAATAGAGATAGAGAAATAAAAATGTCTACATTATGGAATTAAGAAAAAATTTATTATGTAAAGAAATACAAAGATATAAGTAGTATAAGATGATTAAACATTTAACTATTTTTAGGTTCATAGCCTAGATCATTCTTTTCAGATGTGTCCAATACATGAATGTATCAGTCATCAGTCTCTTGAATGTATCTTATCCAAGACTAAAAGTTTGGACGTGTTGGACAATGAGAATTCAATTGATCATGATAATCCTCTATGTAATTGTTCATCTTTGGTCGTATTCAAATTAAATCGAATAAGTTCCAAAAAGATCGAGGTTATAAAGCATCTTCAATATGTGTATGAAGAATATAATCTGTTAATTTAAGAAATTATTCATGTATATTACTTAAGTCTTCAATGATATCACAAAAAGTATTACTAATTTCACCGGATGGTAACATATGTAACATCAAAATGTTGACAATTTGTCGCCGAACATTAGACTAGCTCGATAGAGATGATATTCTCTCTTTAATCGAGCTGCCTGGAATAATTATCTTACTATTTCTATTTTTTGCTTGTTTTCATAAGGCGGACATTTTTATCTCTCTATCTCGATTCTATTTTTCGGACAATTTCCAGCCTACGGTCATTTTCTTCTCTCCTCCCTTCCCGATTCTGCTTTGCGGACATTTTTTTTTCCTTCAATTAAAAAAAATTGCCTACAATCAAGAAGACACGATCTCGATGATATTTGACGACTTTTATTTCGTTTTTTTTTTTATTTATATATTTAGAAAAATTGAATTACGGGATGTGTATTTTTGATTTTATGACTTTGAATAACCAAATGAATAAGATGATTGAAATCAATTTCTTGTAGAATTTCAATGAAAATAATGACACATGTATATTCGAACTTGGTTAAATTATTTTGTTTTTATGATTTGAGATTTCTATCAGAGATTGTCTTGAATGATGAAATATTGTTGTCTCGATCTTTGATTTAATCAAATTGTCAAAATATTTGCATGGAAACAAGTGAGTTTTATAATCATTTTTGTCAGTAGATGTTTGTTACTTCCACTCATTTTATATTAGACTTTAGGTCGTGACTTCACATAAACAAGAGTGAATACTAACGAATAATATATTATATTATAGATGCATCTGCCGACGAAAGCCTCCCAATTGATTAATGACTTTTGAATCGAAGCAATGTGTATGATATAGACCTTCATGAGTTATGAGTATCCTAACAAGAGTTTGTGCTGTTAGCTTACCACTGCCGAAATGCTGTATTTTTATGGTATTATTTAGATCAAAATCGTGGCCTTCTTTAGCAACATCAGAAAAACTAATTGTCGAATTTTGAGTTGAAATTTAATACAAAGATATACCTTCAATAGAATAGTTTTTTTTTGTGAAAATTTTAAGCCTTTTGATTTGTTTCTATCCTGATTTAGGAACATCAAATCTGTGTAGGTGCATGAACGATGTAAAAAACACGCTCTTATTATAACTGTATCTTGAGATAGGAACGACAGAAAGATCTGAAACTTTCACAATAAACTATTCTGTTTAAGGCTTATCTCTGTACACAATTTCAAATCGATTCGTAGAAATCAGCTAACAGCACAAACTCTTTTCAGGATATTCATAACTCATGATCATAAGTAGGCGTGATGGCGTTTCTTTAGAAATTCCTGATTTCCAAAATAAAATACTACGAAAACCTTGTTTAAAATGTTTTCTTCTAACACGTGTCTCCTTATTTTGGGTGCCCTATCTGTGGTAAAAATTTCATATAGACCGGTCGTTGCCTCTTTGCGAACCAGAAATGGTCAAAAAAGAACCGTAAAGTATCCTTAAGGTGATATTGAGATGATGATAATAGATCTAATGATGAAAGTGGAGATATCGAATAGTCCTTTTTTTTGTTCGTAATAGTCACTTGTGAAAGTTAATCTAGTATATATGTTTTCTGTCATTTCTTTCTCTATTTTTCTATTTTGTGTTATCTGGCTAGTGACTTGATAGTTTTGGATTACTTGACGTTATAATTGTCAAAAATAAATGCTATATAACAAAAGAATGAAATAGGACTTTCGAAGTTTCTATAATTTACATTAATGCCGACTTCAATTCCGAAATTTTTTTGAAATGACTCCAACTCCGATTTAGATCTTTAATCTGAATGGATATACATATGGATAAATGGTAAGATAATGGTATCCATTCATCCGTTCACACTCTTCTACCAACATCACTATATTGGAGTCTCAGCATATCATCAAAAACTATTCAAAATTTCTTCTCTAATTTTTATTTCTGTACTTTTTAAGACTAACATTGAGATACAATGAATAAATTCTTGAAAAGTTAGTTCTTTGAAGAAAAAAGTGAAATCTTTTACACTACTGTTGAGTTTTTTTTAGAAATGCCAATCACCTTTTTTTTGAATAACTCTCGACCGCTTATAGCTATTGAACTCGAGTTTTCGTCATTGAAAAGAGCAAACGTGGAGTCATCAAACTATATAGAATTCATAGATTCAAAATAGATTTTCAAGATTGTTCAGTTTTTAGCTTTCTATCTTCTTGTACAATTTATAAAAAAAAATTTGAATGATTCATTGAGACGATAACATGTACAATTTTTACAGTGGATTTTTTTCTGTTTTTTTTATAAGTATATGATAGTGGTAAAAAGTTGTTATTGACTAAATTTTGAAAGAAAAGATGTCAAACGCTAAAATTTTGGAATTAGTGGTTTCAGACATCGATGCATTGAACGCACAATAAAAAAAAAACCTTTTTTTTTGTACACTACTTCATATACTCGATAGTCTCATGATTACTCTCTTAATTATCTCGGAACAAAAATTCAAAACATGCCGTTTTTACGGAACTTACTGCACTCGAACGAAAATCTCTATCGCAGATCTGATAGCAATTGATCATCTTCGGACTTCAAGATTTCTAGAATCTCTCACTTCTTTTGAACATCGCATCACAAAGTAAACTTCAATGACCATTGTCGAGATAGTATAGTATGGATGTTGGATGCGTATATGTAACGCATTACATTGATAAAATCGATGTGCAGCACATCCACATATTAATCTATTATTCAATAATGTTATTGTAGCA